GAAGTCTTAAATGATTTTGAAATTGCCTTGATTGTAACATATCTGTAAATCTTGCAGAGCAGCTGCTGTTACTATTTCACTGCGTTATAAAATTGTCCTATATTTTTCCATATGGTAGTCTGGTGTTTTTATAGTTGTGTATCCTTTTGGCTAAGTCATATGAACGTAAAGAAAACAGTAGAACAAGCTAAAACAGGCCCAGCATGTTTTCAGTCAGAAATCAAAAGCTGTCAGTAAGATGTAGGAACAGGATGCCTAAGCTTCTGTTCAGTCAGCTATAAAAAGCAGGGAGAGAGAACCAATGATGTATGTGAATGTATAAATGGCAAATAAAAAACTCCAACCTACGAAGCATAAATGGATCTGTTATTGTAAACTAATTATTAGTGAGGTGTGCTCCTTGGTGAGCTACAAGTCTGTGTGGATTGGGAACTATTTCCCATTTCAGGCGTACTCTGTACATTTGATGAACACTCCAGATTGTAGCATAGCAGCCTATTCTAATGTTTACATTTTTGTGCTTTTACAGCTAGAAAGAGTATGTTTTAGGACAGCGCATGCATTGGCAGTGACATCTGTTTCTGGAGAAGAAAATACCTTAGCAGTTCACTTCATATTCTGCTTATTTTTTCATTTCAGAGTGCTGTTGTGTAATGTTTGCACACTATGATAAAGATGTTTGTGCTAACCTCTACATATGCCACAGTTCTCAAGGTTTAATGTGGGTTTCTGAGGAACTGTGACTTCAAACCACTGTGCTTCTTCATGGCTTCCCTGAGCATCTTCCATACTTTCCTTCTCTGGTTCTTTAGCTCATGACACTAATCAGGTGTGATGACCCAGTAATTCTGTGAAGACAGTGTATTTAGGAGGCCTTCTCAATGTGCTTGTGCTGCAACATAAATATTGATTTGGTTAGCTTTTCTTCAGTTACATTAAAGATAACGTATGGGCCACCCATTTTACGTGCACCATTTTCACACTTATTAATGCTAATATGGGATGAGTTTTGAAACTTCTGTCTTAACCTGAAAGGGAGTTCAAAATTAAACCTGCTCCATGTAGAATAATCACTTTATATACCAAAAAAATGTTGAATCTTATCAATAAGATTCTTTGCCCAATACAGAAAACTGTGCATTAATTAAATGTAAACCATCATTAGTGCATATAGAGCTACAGATTGTGAGGATGGTGATGCATAAAGGAGACATCTTACTTTAAATTAATTGTCAGAGTAAGTAAAATGAGCTTTTAAAACATCCAGTATTCTACTAAAAAGGGGATATGATGATAACATCATCACTTCTGGCCTTCAGCAGTCTTTGAAATATTAGGAAATATTTATGTTTCTGCTTTATCTGCTTTTCAGTGATGTACCTGTGGTTATATATTTACACTCGGGCTCTGTGTTGGTAAAGTGCTCTATTAATGAGGATAAATGTTACTTAAGTGCCTATGTGAAATAAATATCTTCCTTAGTCCTTCCAGAAGTACACCTGCACGAAGCTCACTCACCATACAGCTACTTAAATTCTTCTGCTAGATTAGCATCAATGTGCAGCTTCATTCTGTGTTATTTCTGTTGCCGTTTGTTTTTCCAGTGCATTTGCTTTATTTATTTTGGTGGTGCTAGTATTATTTGAAGTTTCTACGGCAACCTGTCCCCATCTGCTGTTATAAGATATGCTGGGATTTAGTTGCTAGGTGTTGAAGTTTGTCATCTTACTCACGTGACCCTAATGTTTTTCAGTGTAGCTTTTCCTGTACATGTTGCAGCCCCGGCTAATATGGGCTTTAACAGCAGTGGAAAATATTCCGCATTCTTTCTGCTTCACTTAGGCTTAGAAGCCCTATTTGTTTTACAGAATACATCTGTGATTCCTTTTGATGTATGTTGTATATACTCAACAAAAACAGTGTTTCTTTTACCTTAGCCATCATTTTGCAGCATTTATACTTAAGCCAGCCAGTAGTACAGTACATTTAAATTTGATACTAACTGTGCCTTTTTTTAAGTGGGCAGGGAGTTTAAATGTTTCCTGAGGCATTTTCTTCCTTGTCTCATTTGCATTTGACTACCTATTTACTCATGTTCCTGCTCCCCATAGAACTGCAGTGTTCGTACTATTGATTTTCTTATTCCTTTACACATATTTTTGAAAGGCTGGTTAATTAGAAAAGCAGAGCTTGATGCTGTTTCTGATCTGGGTTCTTTTACATTTAAATGTGAATGAATGTTTTTAATTTGGAAAACATATTTTGTTAGATCTCTTCATAGTAACGCAGTGTATTCAGAGTTATTTCTGTTAAATATTGGGTTGTATTGTCTCATCAGTCAAGTGTTTACTTCAATATATTTATTTTTTGTATACTTGACCTAGTTCTAATCAACCTTTTCTGCTGTAGCTCACAGGATGTATCCTAACAAGCCTAAGCACAGCTGAAATGACTTGTCAGGATTCTGTCTGAAGAACTTCACCTTCTTTGCCACAATCCTTTTTATAACATCCAATCCCTACATACAGAGCTTGACTTGATGAAATAAATTTTTGAGACACAAGCATCAGGCCGCTGTGTTTGTAGGCGTTGCTCGATTCTGAATTTCTTCTCTGCATGCAGTGAGCGTGCAGGCTGCGTCCCAAGTGGTGTTCTTGTGCAGAACTTGGTGTGTTTTCAAGCAGTTTGTGCTCTTTGCACGATTCCAGTAAGAGGTGCCTAAACAGCCTAGGAGTTGAGTGAATAGCTAGAGATTTGCAGATTTGATCACAGCAAGTTCTGCCACAGAGAATGCTAATGCCGGGAGTGCGCGAGTACTTCAAAGATCAGAGGCTGCATCTGAGAAGCGAATCTTTATTGCTGGCATTTGGGGATTAGGAGGGAGGGGCGAGCTTTTAACCTATGAAGAAGCTAGCAGTTAATTTCTAATAGTTGAGATCTCTGCCACGAAAATTATTAAAGATCAGACAGTGTTTTGTCTATTTTCCTGCTTTACAGTCTCATGGAAATAATGGAGGAAGTTTTTGTAGCAAACCAGCTTTACTGTCACCTTCTTTTTGATGTATCATTCAGTCCCACTGATGTGAATTTGACAGGTTTGGTGCGAGGTACTGGCCAGCAATATGTGAGTTTTTTGGTTATGGCTTTCTTCAGTAATCAAGGCTTATCATCTCTTAATTTTAAAATCACCATGCACAGTAACTAAGAATAGCTATTCAAGCTGTAGCATAATCACACATATAGCTAAGCACATTAGAGAAGTTGGTTTCAAAAAAAGAAATAACCTTCCTAAAGTCTTTATGCCGTTAAGCAATGTAATTACATCTATTCAATGCTTGTGAAGAAATGCTGCTTATTTCAAGAAGTGATTATTTAACACGAGTCTAGAGAGGCATTCGGTGATGAATGTTTAGCTACTAAAAATACAAGCTGTTTTTCATGTACAAATCTCTTAACTTCTGTCAGTAACCTTTTTTACCAAATCAAGACATCAGAAGAAAAAAAGAAAACACAATTTCATTATTGAATCCTTTACAATTCATTCATATACTTTCAGCTATACATGAAACATCACAGGAGAGATTTGTCTGATCCAGAACTGTAAAAGTGAACTACTACAGCAGGAAAACCAGCATTTCTTTTTAGAAGAGCATCAGTACCCGAGAACACACGATTCCTTACCTGACAGCTTTTGATTTACCTGCAGAAAATGTGTCTTCTTAGCCTTAAAAAGTAGGCAAGCTTCTCACTGGCACTAATGTTACTCCAAAAGAAGGTGTAATAGGTCCTTTATATTGTAATTTTCACTGTTTAGATGCAAGAAGTGTGCTGAGTCTGCTCACGTAGGAGTAAATAAATAATAAAAAAAGCAGTACAAACTGAGCAGCAGCTCGCATAGAAACTAAAAGACCTCTAGTGGCCAGAACCTGAAGTTAAGGGCAGCTTCCCTGCTCTAAGTGCGAGACAAAATGGTTGGGTACGACAAGCAGCAGCTGGTGACTTGGGCAGTGTGTGCCATTGTTGCTGTTTTGATGTAAGACAAGTATAAAGTGAATCAGAGCTGAAAAGGGAATCCGATCAGTACCAGGTGGAAATTAAATTCTGATCAGAAAGGCAGGTGAGTCCCTTGTGTCAATTCTAGACCAGTGTGATGCAAAGATCCAAGTAGATCTCGAAAATTTTGCAAGCTCATCTACTTTATTAATGACATCAAAACATTTCAAGCAGATTCACTTTTAAAACAGTGATTAAACTTCAGCAAATTAAAAGACATCAGTAAGGAGGATTCTTCAATGTCTTAAAGGAAACCTGCAAATCATTAAACTCCCTATTGTTGCTTGAGAAATAAATGCCTTTGTGGCTTTCAGTACATGATAGTGAAAACCTAGGATTATAAATCATTTTATATCTTCCAAAATTTCTACTTTAGGAATTAAGAAAAATAAAATATTTCCATCTGAGAAAGTTTGAAAGAACTTTGGAGACATGAAAGTAGTGATACTCTATAAAATTTTACAGAGCCCTGTAAAAGCTACTTAAATGCCTCCAAATTGTAAAACATAACCTTTCTTCCAGCATTTCCTCCTATGAACAGCTTATCTTTCTAGAATGATTAGAAAATTTTAATGCTAATGTATTTCTTTACTGTGAATTCTTACTGGAAGAACCCTAAGCCACATCACATGCCTTTTGGGAGTCTTATGGTCATACTGAGTTGTGCTTTGTACATTAAGTTTTCTCATCACAATGTGTGTTTCCACATGGTCATTCATAAATGACATAACTTTCTCACCAGAGCCCACCCCTTGCCTGGGAATCTTACAAATTACACTTTTTGAGTTCTTAATGTGTTTCTTAATCTGGACACGCAAAGCTTGCATATTATTTTTACATCCATAAAAGGATTTATTAGGCATTTAGCATAGTTCAACTTTAGAAGGAATATGATCCAATACCTTCAGTACTGTGCATGTGTCGATTACGGTCTGGTTTTCTTCCAGAGTCATTTTGTGGCGTGCATGACAGCGATCTTAAACCAGATGAACAACCAGCATTATTCGGTTTACATCGAAACGTTTCAGACAAGTTCAGAATTAGTGGTGAGTATAAAATGATCATGGAGGTGTGATAAATAATTATTAATATTTCATTTCCTGTGAAAAAATCAGTGGTATTGTTTTGGAGTGTCTTGTCTGATCCTTGGAGCAATGAAGTTTGTTCCTGTACGTTTTCTCCCTCTGTGTCAGTGTGTTGATGCCTTCTTCTAATGGTGACCTTGGACAATACTGTCATTTGGAAAGACCTGCTGCTGACCCTAGCATTGAGGTGGTAATATAATAATCAATAATAGATAACAAGATCTTTGTGTTATACTGTTCTGAGGAGGAAAATAAACAGAAAAACCACAACAGGACCAACTCTCAACTAATTGATCCCTCCCTCCCCCACTTTGCACTTGGTGATCCACTTCTACTTTTCATTTTCACTATCGAGTCTACTCCTGGTCCAGATAGTGGTGTACGCTAAATGCGGTAAATGCCTTATTCTTGAAACACAGCTTTTAATGCCAGTTGTTTCTGGCATAACTTAACAATACTTGGGGTATAATCGAATTTGTAGCAGTGGTCACTATGCTCTAGAAGGTTTCTGTTGTCCTGTATCTGTCCTTTAAGTCTCCTGACATAGCACTGAAATAATTCTGGACACTGGCAAAGGTTTTGATTACATCTACAGTGTGTTCATGGAAGTAATATTTTCAGTTTGCAAGATTTGTCCATTTCCCTTTCTTTCTTAAAGTCAGAGTGGTGCCGGAACTGGAATGCAACCCAATCAAATCTTGGGTAGCTTTTGCAATTCTTCATGTGCTTTAGTTTACTTGAAAATGTAGCAGTAGTATAATGTAATTTCAGCTTCCAAGCGGATGGGGTACTTGATCTGAGAGGTTTTAGTAATCCCTTAACTACTTAAGCACTTCTGCATAGGTAAAAAAGCAAACAAGACACCAATATATTCATTGGGGTTGCTGTTTTTCAAGGTATTGGTTTGTAGTCTTCTCATATTTTCTGTACCACAAATATATCAGTGAAGATGAAAAAGATTTGTTTTCAAATAATGTTGTTGAGAGCTATTGCACACTTGGTTCTCAGTAAGTGATACGTCAAGAAAGAGTACAGACTTGGCAGAGAGCTGCTCCTCAGGCTATGGCAGTAGATGATGACAACTTGCAAGCCTCACAGACTTGTAGGTGACTTGCTCGGAAGTGCACAGGTAGAACCGCCTGTATGTGCCATATGTGAAATACACCTGAAATGATTCTGCTTATTTATTTAAGTTCATTATGCAGTGATCTTAAATACTTACAGGAAAAGTAGCGTTTGTTTTGTTTGAAAACTTTCTGACAGTGCTATCATTTTGCTTAAATTTAGAATACTAAATTTGCACTAAATGGACTGAATTAAAAATCTTGTATTTTTCAAACCTATTGTTTCTTTATGCGTAGTACGACTGTTTTGCTAAACAATGAAAACTTCATCAGCTGTACTCTAAAGTACTATAGCTTTTTCTTTCTATTCATTTATGGCTTATCTTTTCTTAAGAGGCCAGCATAATGAATTTTAGCTTTTATTTGGAATCTGAGACTGCTGTTTAAAGGACTTCAGTTCTCATCCTGGGCTTACTGATGTCACCAGGAATTTTTCCATTGACTGCACTGGGAGCAAAGTTGAGGCCTCCATCTTAGTTCTTCAACCACAGCAGGAACACTTAAACTTGGTGTTATGCAGTCACTGACTTACTGTGTTTTGTTGTTCTAGGACTTCTTAATGGAAACATTCATAATGTTCAAAGATCTCATTGGAAAGAACGTTTACCCTTCAGACTGGATGGCAATGAGCATGGTGCAGAACAGGTAAAATGGGGCTGGAGGATCCATGCTGATGTTTCACGTGCTTGTGAAAAGTGAACTTGATTCATATCTTACAGAAAGTTTGGCTGTGCAGTCTAAGATGAAATCATTTATTGACAATACATTAAGCCTTAGCTGTTTGTGCCTTAAGTCCATTTATAATGGAAAGGAAAAAAATGTATCTAATGGTAAAGTGGAAGTATATAGTTGATCTCCATGTTGACAGTCAGCAAAAGTCAAACCCTAAAAGGCCTGTTGGATCTTAAACATACAATTTCTGGACATGGCTGGAATGTCCTCACTGACACATCAGCAAGTTCGTTGTGATGCAAAAGCTCTCTAACACAGTTTTCTTTCTGAACAAGTGTGGTTTCTTGAATTGCTAAAGGGTCTGATGAAATAGGCCAAATCTTTGAGCACAAGAAGCTGTTTGTAGGAGGAGGCTGGATCCATGATGCTTACTGTAGCTTACACTGAGGAAATGAATTGCTATCCTGTACGTAATTTGGGGTTTCACTATGATTGATTACTTCAAACTGAGATACGTTGCCTCTGTAGATCAAGATGACATCTAAGCAAAAGTTTATAAAATCAAATTTATTATTCTCCCTGTTATCTGCCCTGTAAGAACTTGCTATTAAGTGTTTGAGTATTCTTACAGTATAAAATTGATTGAAGGCAATACCTTTATCCACAGCTGTATTCTGTTTTGGTGTTAACCTAAATGATGGAGGGATAAACAAAGTATCGCTGGATCTCTGTTAAGCCGCAGAACCACTCTTGTGCTGGAGTTCAGATTGCAAGTAGCATAAGTGAAATTTCATGTCATATAGATTTTGCTGCCACATGAGCTCTTTTCAATTTGTCATTTACAAGTCAAGTTGTGCTGAATTGGAAAGAGGGCAGGAGTGATCTTTGTGCACCTCCACCACTGATAATGGCTTTGGACAGCTGGCTCGGCCAGCTTATCACAGATGGATCTCCTCTGAGTATCTTTGAAATATTGCTTGTTTGAAGAGGAAGGAAATGTTCTTCCCTTGAGGTGTGTTGTGTTGTTTATTATGGGCATCAGTTAGAAACTGATGTTTTTGGCAACAAGGAAAGGCTAGTATATAGGGAACAGGATGGGCTTTGTGAGGATTTATTTCCTAATAATTGTTCCCAGACACTCAGAGGTTACCAGCTGTTTTCTTTTTGTGTCTCAAGTCTATAACAGAGGAAATCAAGGGAAAGTTGGACAAAGTGTGCAAAGTAAAGCACATGGCTGCTCTAAACAAAGTTAGTGCATTCAGTTTGTTTATTTGTCAGCTTGTGGGTGAGGAAGTTTCCTCAAAATTCAGACACACAGAGGTTTTACAAGCATCTGCCTATGTAGAAGAAATTGAACAAGAAAGGAGTCATGAGCATGTAACCATACTGTGTTGTGGATTTTTTATTCTTTTTTTATTTGCTGATTTCCTTCTCTTCATACTTTGTGGAAATCATGGCTAAAAATTTCACTGGAAAGGATCTGGATTTCCAGGAAAAAAAACCACTTAATTTTACTTTTTTTTTTTTTTACTTTGTTACCTGCAGGACTGAACTTATTCTTGCTTTATATTCTCAAAGAAACATTTGGAGTTTACATGCTGGGTTGGTTTATGAAGTGAATATGCTTTCTTTTTCTTTTTTTGAGGAAAACTTCTGTTGATGATGTGAATTTTGACCGCCTGTACTATCACTATTTTAGTTTTGTAGAAATGGCAGTAACACTGAGTTTTCCTGAAGTCACAGGGAGACTAGTCTAAAAATTAAGACTCTGAGATACACAAGTTACAATTAACAGCGTTTGTGGAATTCTAAGTTATTTGAGATGTCATGGTTACGTAATCTTCCACTTCCAGTTTTATACAGTTGAAAAAGAGAGAAGAGATCTGATACTTAATAAAGTCAATGACTCCTGGGAGTGCTTAGTCTTGAAAAGATTTGCTAAGATATTATAGAGCATTGTGATATGAAATTTTGATATTGGATGCATTTTTTATCTGGAATTTCAGTGGAATAGTCTTAAATGAGAAGGATTTTTGTGTTTTTATTCAACAATTCCAAGTGAGGACTGTAGTCCGAGTGGGTTGTGATGATGGCAGCGAGGTTCAGGCACGTGAACCTCGCTTTCTGTCGCTCCTACACATCGATGTTAAGCGGAGACATGGGTGACCCCTCTACTGAGGTGGGCAGGCACAAATATGCCAGTGGATGTGTTTGTTCCCAATCGCATTTTGTAAATGATACTGGTTTCTTCCCACTTGTTTCTTTGTCTGAGCTAGTCTTTGGCCTATAAAGGTAAAATCTAAATCTGTGAAACTTCTTATGTTGCTGCTGCTATTTGCAGTTCCTTGTAATGTAGCCAGGATTACTCTTAAAAAGTACCAGCTTAATACTCAAGTAACCCAGGGGTCTTCTGTTATATGTAAGCATATCAGACTGTTCACGTGTAAAACTGCTTCTCTTATCCAGAAAATGCTGTTAACATCTGCATTTTCACAGGTACAGGTTTTATTTTTTAAATTCTGTTGGGGCACGGGAAGTGTCAATCCTTGCTCAGAGAACACGCCTTTGAGGCTTGGGGGCTTACCTGCTGGTTTTTTATATTTTGCCCGTTACTGACAAGAGATACTCACTTGTGGTGCTGTGCATTGGTTGATAATGCCCTCTAATGACTCTGAACTTTGTGGGGCAGTTTGGGCCAGGCAGGCTTCTAAACCTTGTCCCTCATTTGACAAGTCAAATGAGAATATTTAAAGAAAAGTCAGCATTAAAAAAACCCAAAAGTTTAGAAGCTATTCAACAGTCCTTCTGTAAACACGTTGCTAACCTACATTGACTTGGCCCTGTTTATACTCTTTGATTATGTTGCTGTTCGCAAGATTACATAAGAAAATGAGTTATTGATCTTACTTTCATGTCTTAATTTTATATAATATCAACAACTGTGAAGGGAGATTTTTGTTATCAGTCTTTACAGAAATTTGGTGGGTTTTGTTTTCTTGAGTTTTTTTGGTTTGTTTATTTTTTGATGGGGCTGGTGTTCTATGAAGTAAATTGAGGGCTAATCTAGATTTCAAGATTTGTCTTATTAACATGCTTTACTCCAAACCAGAAAAGTAGCGGAGAAGAAGCCCCAAGGGATCAGTCTGGGTTCTCTTGAAATAACAGTGAGAGAAGATAATGACATCTAAGAAAAAAAACCAACAAAAAGTGCTGGAACAGCTGAGATGTTGCTTTCTTGATTCACCTGTTCTGAGCAGGAGACTACATGCAGGCCTTTCTATGCCCTAAAGGAGGTATTTTACTGAAGAGTCTCCCCTTTCTGAATTTGCAAAAATACTAGTTACAGGCTGTTAAGGCAGGGCTGCTGTGTAACCTAGCCCGTGGCAGAACGGAGTTGGCACTTCTTCCCTGCAGGCATCCAGCAAAGCCTGACAGTCTCCCCCACAGGCTCTCTTGTATTTTGTACCTGGCAAGGAAAGTGGGCATTGAGGGGATTTTCCTGTAGGGTGTATGCTGCAGTGCAGAAATGTAACATCAGCATGTGTTTACTTAGAGGCAGAGGAAAGGGAAGAACGTGTCTAGTACTGCAGGTTTGATCCTCTTTGTGGGTAAAAGGTGTTCCTAACGAGCAGGACACTCTGATTACTCGTACACCTAAATGAAGACAGCCAGTGCGTGTTTGATATCGGGACATTTCCAGTAGATATTAGATGTCTGGCATTGGTAAAAGGAAAAGAATGAGAGAATGACTTCTTCTGAGGTCCAAAGGTTGAGAGAATGCACACAGTCATGTCCAGCAGAAGCTGTGGTTAGGCAAAGGGAAAGAATGGGAGTAGAAGCTATACGAACCAAAATTACTTAGTCAAGCTTTGCCTGTATCGATATAGAATGATTTAACTCAAATTACATCATTATTATAAAAAATATGCTGCCTGCTCTCAGATCATGTTCTGGATCCCAGAGCCCATGTGGGGGAGGCAGATGCTGTGTCTACTTGTCCCACTGGACTCAGAGTATTCTGGTATCAACAGAGAATCAAAAAGGGAAATTATTTTTTTCCCTATTTTCCTTTTTTTTTCTGTTAACAGCAAAGTGGGAAGAACACTTTTTTGTGGCATGCTAGGAGGGACAGAACACTTTGGAAATTGCTAAAATCCTCTCTGAGGTAATGAGGATATAATATCAGAGTTATTTTTGTTGTCCTACGTGGTAGATTTAATTAACTTTGTTCTAATGAAGGTTGCTTACTGCACACTTCTTACTAGTTGCTACTGCTTGTATGTGCACTTTATTCCACTTATGGTACTTACACTGTTGGCCTTATTAAAAGCAGTAATTCCTGGGTACGTGGCATTTGTGGAGAAATGCTTTGCAGGTTTAGGTAGTACCGTAGAGTCCACTTATCTCTCAGCTGTTTGTAATTTTAATTGAGGCACGTAATTCCTCCCAGGAAATTCCTACACCTTAATGTCAACACAAAGTGCATAGGGAGTCAGATTCGCTGAGTAAAAGAAATTATTAAGGAGGTTAGGAACTAAGGGGAATGTATTCACCTCCCTTTCTTCTGTTCTTCTGGGCTTTGAAATTATAATTGCTCAGATGGAGATTGAAACTACTTGATTTTATTACAATTAGTACCCGGGAACAGTTTTACTTGATGTCCAGTCTGATATGGCTTAGTACACTTAATTTTGTGTCCATTTGAGTTGTTTTTTGAACCTTGTTGGCATTATATTTAGGTGTTTAAAAATAAAAGGAAACAGGTTTTCACCAGTGCATCTCAAGGTCAGATCCTGTTTGCTGAAAAATCCATGTGAGATAACACTGACAGGTATTTTCTAACACCAGTAGTTAGGCTTTTTCTAAAATATGTTTTCATTACCTGTATATCAGAGTGTTTTCAGACATCTGTCAGAGTCAAGTGTTCCCCAACCCTTTTCCAGTCTAACTTGGATGGTTTAGCACTGCAGATA